TCCAAGACACTAAGGAAAATCCTTCTGCATTTCTTGACCACCTTACTAAAGCTATGTTACAGTTCACAAACATGGATCCAGAATCCACGGAGGGCAGACAGCTTCTGATGACCCATTTCATCAACCAATGCTACTCAGACATCAAGGCAAAAGCTCAGACATTTGGAGAAGGATCCCCTAACCTCACAGGCACAGATCCTGGAGGCGGCCTTCAAGGTGTACCACGCGAGGAACGACAGAGCCCGAAATCCTTGCCACGTAATCACCGCACCCGCCCAGCCAGCCAAGGTGACGGACTCCACTACCCGTCCTCTCCATACGGCTCCCCCGCACCCCGGGGTGCGTGAGCCGCCAGGCCCATGCTTCAAGTGTGGTAAGACAGGTCACTGGGCGAAGGGATGCCCCAATCCCCATCGCAACCCAAGGGGCCCCTGCCCAAGGTGCTACAGGGAGGGTCACTGGTCCGCAGATTGTCCTCATGCATTCGATGACGCGGGGGCAGCGGTCCCAGAGGACCCCCAGGTTGGCCTATTGGGTTTGGCCCTGGAAGACTGAAGGTTCCCGGGCTCCTCCATCTACAACCTGACTGCTACGCCCATCTGCAACCAGGAGCCACGGGTACTTCTTACAGTGTCGGGACGCCTCATCTCATTTCTCTTGGACACCGGAGCAACATATTTGGTTCTAAGGGAATTTTGGGGGCCAACCTCTCCCTCAAGCTCCCCTATCGTCAGGGTAGGGGGACAGCCTTATCTACCTCACCAAACTCCACCTTTCAATTGCATATTTAGAGGTATCTTTCTCACTCATTCATTCCTAGTTCTACCAACCTGTCCAATCCCACTCTTGGGAAGGGATCTTCTGACCAAGCTGGGAGCCTCCATTTCTTTCGCACCCCCCACCCGTTTTGTTTCAGATTCGTCGGTGACACAGCTGCTGCTTCTCCTGGCCCCACAATCTTCTGATACTAACATGCCTTTTCCTCTTCCAGCCTCCCAGGTGGATCTCACGCGGCCATCTGGAAGGAACGCGGGCTTCTCACGGCGAAGGGAGGGTCTATTATAGGAATTATTCACTGTCGGTCTCATCAGTCTGACAGTTCTATTGTTTCCAAGGGAAATAACCGGGCTGACAGAGCAGCTAAGACAGCAGCACTTAGCCCAGATCTGTCTCAGTTACCTCAGGGAGTCCTTACAGCACAGCCCACAACCTCGCAGACACCTCCTAACACTCAACAGTTCCTGTCCTACCTACACCAGCTTTTTCATCCCAATGAGAAAGCTCTACTTCATTTTGTAAAAACGCATATCAAACCCACGCCTGAGGATATCAGGTTCCTAAAAGCCACCACTGCCTCCTGTCAGATCTGCCAAAAGTCAGATCCCAGGACCAAATATCATAGTTTCCCTTTCCCTACCCACCAGGCAAGGGGCTCCCTTCTGGGAACTGACTGGCAGCTGGATTTTATGTTCTTCTCCGAGAGATTATTCCCCGGTTTAAACTCCCAACTTCTCTTCAGTCAGATAACGGTCCACTTCTCAGATTTCTCAAAATCTGTCTAAAGCGCTTGGAATCCCCTGGAATTTTCACATACCGTACCATCCTCAGTTGTCAGGTAAGGTAGAATGAACTAACCGCTCTTTAAAGGAAGCTCTCGTTAAGATGTCACAGGAACTTCACCTCGACTGGGTAAGACTTCTGCCCCTCGCTCTTCTCAGGCTTCGGGTTCTTCCAAAGGGCCCCCTTTTTATTTCACCCTTTGAACTCATGTATGGGCGGCTGGTCTTAACCCCCGACCTCTCATCGGGGACCTCTCCCCTTCCTGACCACCTGCTCACTCCCCTCCTTTTCCACTTACATTCGCTACTGTGGGACTTCACAGATCACTCACTACCTCAACCATGTGCTAATACATGTCCACCGCCGGTTAACATAGGGGATAAGGTATTACTCTCACCCTCAGGCCAGCATCCCTCACCTCCTTCTCCTAAATGGCAGGGCTCTTTCAGAGTAATTCTTCTGACTCCCACAGCTGCCAAGCTTGAAGGAATTCCTCATTGGATTCACCTGTCACATCTTAAACCGTTTATCTCCACAGCTCAAGATAATCCTTCATACACGGTAACTCAGACGGGACCTTGTTCTCTTAAGTTCCAAAGGACACCAGGTTCAGCTTCCTCTACTCCAGTCTAAGGAAGACAGTGGTCCCATCCATCGCTGTGTTAACACACCCTCCCTTCTTTAAATTCACAAATAGCCAAACAGCTGTCGTTACAGGTACCATCATCAAATACAGAGTCAAGGGCTCAGGTGGTGAGCAGATTCTCAACAAAGTTCTTTGACATAACAGGTCAGCCACTGACTGCAGCAGTGGCCCCTGAAATGTTAAGGAATATACAGTTAAAATCTATTTCTTTTAAGACACTTTCTTTAAGCTCCAGGCCAGCCCGACCCACCTAAACAAATCAAACACAAGCAGATCACTAATGGAATAAGTATCATTTAATTTTTTATCATTCTTAACCCCAGACATCCTAAGACTCCCTCACCCCAGATCTCTTCTCCCCGCCCCCCTTTAATTTTTTCTCTTCTACTAATGCAACTTTTGCCTTCCAGCATCTTAATGATGACCCAGCTACTTAGAAAAAGCCAGACAGATTTCTTCAATCAGCCACTGATGGAGGAAGGTCATTGGCTAATAAAGGAACTGCCTTGGCCCATTTTATTGGTTAGAAGATAGGTGGGTGGAGAAAACAGAACAGGATACTGGGAGGAAGAGGAAGTGAGCTCAGAGACTCGACAGCTCTCCTCTCGGGAGCAGACGCCTCAGAGAGATGCCATGCCCTGCTCCCAGGATGAAGCTCCGACCTAGGATGGACATAGGCTAGAATCTTCCCGGTAAGCGCACCTTGGAGTGCTACACACAGATGATTAGAAATGGGCTAAATTAATATGTGAGAATTAGCCTAGAAGAGAATGGGCCAAGCAGTATTTAAATGAATACAGTTTGTGTGTTGTTATTTCGGGCATAAGCTAGCCGTGTGGGCGGCTGGGGTGCTGGGGACGCAGCATCGCCCCCTTACTACTACAAGCCACCTCAGACGCCAGCCAAGACCTCAAACGCCAGTGGGACATCGCCAGAATAATCGGGCATTCCCTGGTTCCCCCGATGCCCAAAGCCAGCAGGAAGCAGTCATGAGAGACCGGGCTATGCCCCCATTCCCTACCCTTTAAGGTCCCCCAATTTTTTTTAATCAAACTAAAAGGGTGAAATGTTGTTCCTTTGCAGAACTACAGCTCCCAGCATTCTCCTGGACTATGGACATATTCCCAGAAGCCTTTGCATTCCCTGTTAAAAAGCGAGGGCCGCCAGGAGCTCTCTCTCTCTTTCCTGCCTCTCCTGTCGTGTCAGCACACCTGTACCTGCCCGTTGTTACCCCTCCCTCATTAAAAGTGCACCCACGTGGGATCTCCACGTGTCTGTGTTTTCTTCCCAGTGTAATGTCTTTACCCTCTAACCCGCAGACAAGAAAGCCAGCCAGAAATTAGGAACAACAGATACCAGTGCGAACTTAATCAATAACCGTGGGCTCCAGGTCTACGAACACTGCCTGGGGCACATGCTTGCCAGTGCCTGTCTCACTGAAGGTGTGGAAGGAGTCATCTCCTCCACCAATGGTCTTGTCACTGGCATCTGGCCTTCAGGCCGGATACCATGTTCCAGGCAGTAGAGTTCCCAGCAGGCATTGCGGATCTGGACACCAGCCTGGCCGACGTGGATGGAGGTGCACTCACACATGGTAGCTATGGGTTAGAAAGTGAGGGTGGCAGAGAGGACACCGGGTCCCGGTTACCGTTCCCGACAGCTAAGAGTAGAGGTAAATAACTCAATGAGACCCCCTTTACTTTAATAAGCCACCATTTGCCCACTTGCCACATCTGTTCTCTCTATCCAGAGACAGTCCTTTGTCCCACCCCCACCCAAACAGAACAAATACCCCCTCCCATTTCCCTTGCTCCCTTCCCCTCCTCCCTGGTCCTCACTGCCACACCAAAGCCTTTCCTAACGCAGACCTCCCTCTGCTCTTTTCTTACACCTGCCAGGTCATTTGCTGCTGTTGCTGTCAGAGTCAGGAGGGAGCCACTTTAGCTTTTCTTCCTCGTTTAATAAAGGATCTCTCTGTGAAAAGAGGTGTTTGGGTGTGGTTTGCGCCTGATCCGGGATCTGGGAGGAAGCCCCTGCTGTGCAGTGTCCTTGTCGTCCCCCTTCAAGAGTGGCTTAGCCCAGGAGAGACTTTGACCACCTCTCCGTTTATTCTCACAGTTCTCTTCACTCTCTGACCGACCTCTCCGCATTTTCTCCTCGCGGGCCTGTTCTACATTGTTACTATTCTGCACTAATTTTTGTTTCTTTCTTTTGTTTTTAAACTCTAAGTGAGGATACACATTTTTCTTCAGGGAACCATAACATATCCCCAGGACGGTGTACAGAAAGGTTCATTTCAGACCTTTAATGATTCCCATGGCTTCGCTTCCCGCCTCCATGGCAATAACCCTTTCTAGTTTTCAAATTTTAGAAAATCAAAAGAAAAAAAAGCCCTAAGTCCGTGTGAAAATACAGAGAAAGTTTAGGACTATGAAAGATCAGTCTCTTAGACACGTGTGCATCCACGCAGAGAATAATCCCCTGAAGATGTGAGGCAGCTTCAGACTTTTCGTCTGTGGCATTCCACATGACCCATGCATGTACGGAAATGAGCACTCTGACGGTGACTTCCGTCTAACTGGAATACGGACGTGGCCACGACAATGTCTTGCTGGGAAAAGAACCAAAATGTACACCGTTATGACTATCAGCAAAGCATAGCCTCCCGAGTGGTGCTGGGTAACTTTACAAGCCGCAGTGGCCACGCGCAATACCGACTTCCGCTGGGGCGGGGGCAGGCTGAGGTGTGGCCAGAGGCGTTCTGGAGCACTACTTCCGCTTAGTTCTTCACGTGGTTCGGTGTTGGTGTTGTTTTCGTTACCGGGACGCCGTGGGAGTTAGGATTCCGACCCTGGGGAATCCTCAGTCCGCGGGCGTAAGTCGCTGCCGGGCGGGCCTTGCGCACAGCTCTCTGTGCGGCGCAGTGAGGTGAGTGCCTGCGGGGCAGGGCGGGCGCTGTACTGCCTGCCGAGCGCTGGTCCAGCCCAGCGACGGCTGCGGAGGCTGCAGGGGGATGCCGTGGTTGGGCTGGGAGTCCTGTGGGAGTAGGCAGAGCAGTATTGCTGAGGGCGGCGATGGAGCCTGGGGCTGGTGTGTGTCTGTGAGGGCGACGGCATCGCCTTCTGGACTGCGAGTGTTTGCATGGCCGTGACTTGAGGCTTGAGTCTGCCTGCGAGAGGAGAAAAAGATGGAAAATGAGTTTATTCACACTTTACACCCTACACCCGGGCCGCAGTATCCTCGGCCTGCCCAAGCCTACGCCGTGTCAGAATTGAAAGAAGGGATGGGGCAGTCTGCGCGAGGTCGTAGCTCCGGGCTCTAGGGAGCGGAACTGGGTGCAAGTGCTGGGGACCAGGGCTTCAACCCCATTACATTTCCCAACCCCATTACATTTCTCCAACCCCATTACATTTCCCATAGGGAGGTGCTGAGAAAGAAAAAATTTAAAACGTACTAATTCCTGTGACCAGTTTGAATATTGGGACTCTTGAAGGTGTGTGCTAGCCTGTCTTTGGGACCCCGTGGACTTGGCTACGATCTGTGAGCAGCAGTTGAGCAGCGTGGTGCTGTAAATAGGGGTTAGGCTAAGTGCTTGGCCCCCTGCAGTCCCAACAAGTTGACCGTGGTCTGGTGCCCCTATTGGTGAAAAGCAGAGAGAGGAGGGGAAGTTTCTTCAAATCAGCCACATGGGGCAGAAGTGGTAAAGAACCCAGGGACCCCAGTCAGTCGTTGTGACACAGAGGCTTGAGATTGCTGGTCAAGAGGTTCGCCTAATAAAGTTATCTGGCAGGGTGTGATGGCTCCTGGCTTTTACCCTTACGAGGTGGTACCTAGCCTTCCGAGGTGGTACCAGTGGGATCCCTGAAGATGGAGGCTGCTTAGCGTAGCAGGGGGGCCTCATAGCCCACATCCTCCTTTAGATGCTGCATGTGTACTTAGATGATTAAGAAGTCCTGGTCATGGTGTATGTGGTCCCGCAGAAAATTAATCTGGTCCTTGTGCTAGGCCCATCTTTTTCCTCCTGGGTGTTTATTTCTACTGTGAAGCTTCATCCTGGTGCCTAATTGTCCTCCTCTGGGGGTGGTCTGTTCTCAGGGGCTTTACAGTTTCTCGAATTGAAGAAGACCAATGCATTTAGAAAAATCTTTGAACCTTCAACCCTGAAGGGGGATGTGTCAATCCCACCAGGTGAGAATGTAACACCACTCCTACAATTCTGAGCCAAATTTGAAGCAAGCTAGATTTTTATTGGAGTGCACCCAAAAACTGACTGTGCCTGCCTGCTAAGTCGGGTTAGGGAGAGCGGCTCCGAGTCCATTCCTCGGGCCTTTTAAGGTGTAAAATTGTGAGTGGTTGTAAAGCAGGTTTATTTCATTTCATATTTGTTTGTTTCAAGGCAGAGGTACTCTGTGTAGCCATAGCTGTCCTGGAAAACTGTAGACCACATAGATGAACTCACAGGGAGCCGCCTTCCTCTGCCTCTGCAGTCCTGGGATTAAAGGTGTGCACCACCACAGCCTGCCTTGCAAAGCAGATTTACCTAAAACAGTGGAGTAGTGAGGAAGTAGAGGAAAATCTCAAACAGTAGCCCTCACCGAGTGGTCACGAGTGATCAGGGAGGGTTCTGGGGCTGCCTGTTACCAAAACCAAGTCAAGGTCATGGGTTGGGGCAGGTCAGGTTCCTGGAAACAGACAGAAACCTATTTTTAACAATACAGCCCTTGCCTTCAAAATGGAGTGAGGCAGGTTCCTCAGATGGTGTAGGTTGGGTAGAGACAGCCAAGCAGAAGTCTAAGAAGTCTAAGCCAACAGATGGGCCTCAAACTTAGCGGCGATTCTCCTGCTTCTGCCTCCGAGTGTGGGTTACAGAAGTGTCATGTAAATTGGAGTGCCCAGAGAATTAAAAACTTCTTTTGCCTAATTGGCTAAGTAATCATCAGGAGGACACAGTTGTGGAGATCTTACCCCTCCCACTGCCACTCATTCTTATGCTCATCTCCAGATGTCACGCCCTGGTTATTATATTGCTGGTAGACATACGACCTCGTTGTGAATGCAGGTTGCTGTTAGTCTTTTCTACTCTGAATATCTAGGGGTTTGGGGTTTGTTTTGTTTTTTGAGGAGGTTAGGTAGCAGACACTAGCAGGGGTCTAATGTTTTTGTCCATGTGTAGCTGAAGCTAAGTTGATTCAGGGTGCTTCGATTTTGAAGATGAACCATCAGATTTACTTTCTTAGTAGGTGTCTTTCAGAGTATGTCCTCTGGCCCTGAGCAAGTGAAGCTTAATGCCCTGTCTTTGCCTGGACGCCTTTTGAAAACACATTGGGCTTAAGGAGTGTCTGAAGTTTCCCATCTTTGACAGCACAAAGAGCAGGTCGGACTCCAGGGCCAAGGTCTCTGTTCTTCTCGCAAGCTTTCCTTGCTGTGTCCCCGTGATTGTCCTTCTTCTAGGGACGGTTGAGCCATCGGAGAGACTACAGTTGAGAGTACTGAGCAAACGTTAAATGAAACTGAGTTGACACTTTCAACTTTTAATAGCATGATGTGTGCCTGTTTGGGGACTGTGCCCATGGTACGGATGCAGGTGGAAGCCCTTGCTTGAGTTACAGGTGGTCTGAGCCCCTGATGTGGGTGCTGGGAATCAACTTGGTTCAGACATGTAAAACAGCATGCTTAAAGAATAAGTATGGGCTAAAAAGGAACATTTTTACAGGTACACACAAAGAAAATGTCGGGCAGGACAAATAAAGGAGCAGCTGGCATTCTCTGCAGAGCACAGCAGCTTAAACTAAATGACATGTTGGAAGTAGGACAGAGTGCCGTTAAGCAGAAAGAGTCTTCTTTTGCCTGTATTTTCTTCACTGCCAGGCAGGTGCTAAGGACTTGATTCCCAAATCCTATGAACACTGCACCTTTCTTTGGAAAGCTCACATCGCTTACTGTCTTCTCTTCTCACACTAAAGGATGGGAAACCTGCACTGAATTCTTTGTAACCAGAGTTCAAAATCATTGTCTTTTGTTTGTTTCCTGGATCTTTATAAAGTTAAAAGTTAGGCTAGGCGTGGTGGTGGATGCCCTTAACCCCAGCACTCAGGAGGCAGAGGCAGGTGATCTCTGCCGAGGCCAGCCTGGTCTACAGAGTGAACTGTTGGGTAGTCAGGGTTACACAGAGAAACCCTGCTCAAAAAAAAAAAAAAAAAAAGAGTTGGGCTTTCCCTACTCTGCAGTGTCTATATGATGCCTGTTGGATAGGGCAAATGTTGTATGAGTGACCCACGGTCACTGACTTTCCAGGACTTTGTCTTTGTAGCTCCCTGGGTCGTGCCAAGTCATTCACGCTGCTGATTTTCCAGCACAGCACAGCTGAGTTCTGCACGTCAGCTCTACTCAGAGGCTCCACATGCTCACCCGAATCCTGAGGCAATCCGAGGCCCAGAGGAGACAGCACAGAGGACATGTCTACTGACGGGGGTTTCTGCCAGAAGCCCCAGAGACTGGAAGCAGATGAGCAGTATGGATTGTGTGAGGTGAGGAGAGGTGCCCCAGGTTCTGTCCTCCAGAACTGGGGCTAGACATTGGCAGTACCAGATGTGAGCTCCGTTTCTGAGGTGACCCTGAGTCTCCAGCTGAGAGTGAAGCCCAGGTTCTGTCCTCCAGAACTGGGGCTAGACATTGGCAGTACCAGATGTGAGCTCCGTTTCTGAGGTGACCCTGAGTCTCCAGCTGAGAGTGAAGCCCAGAGCATGGAAACCCTAGCATTTCCTCATTATTTTGTGACATGCCCGGTGTGCTGCTTCTCGGGTTCAGGTTTGTCTGCTCGTCCATGACCTCCTGGGGAGTCCTGTTTCTAGTCAACCCAGATAGAGGGGACAAAGAAGTAGGTACCTCCAAGTCTAGCTTTGGCTTAATCATGGTATCGCAGGTGAGTGGCTGATGGGTGGTTTGTGAAGCTGGACCTCCAAATCACCCCTGCCCGGTTGTGTCCAGTGATGGGTTTGGATGCGTGTAGACCTCGCCAGAGCCCACTGTTGCTCCCCAAATTCGCATGGGCCTTCCTACCGCTCCACTCTCAACCTGTCCTACCGCAAGCCTCTGATGTACAGTTTAAGCTGTGTGCTCTACAGAGCATGGCAGCCACTGCTGAATCTGCCCTCCCACCAGTTTCTCTGTGCACCTTTGTAAAACGCCCCGTTTTAGCCCTCGCTGAGTCCTTACATTTGTTGTTTTGCCAATCCCAGTCTTCCCTCGAGTAGAAGCTCATACTGTAGCAGTGAGCCCCAGGAGCCCTACACAACTCTAGACAAGCATAACATGGCTTAATAGCTGTCATCCTGCTTACATTTGGTGGAGAAATTCTATCCTCTGTGGGGTTGGATGAGACGTAGTATACAATGCATGGCAGGGTATTTTTATATACCGTCTTTAGGCCTGAACATAAAAATGAAATCTTTTTTTGGTGGAAAGTTTAATGGTGCTTCCTGGGGAGCGGAAATCATTAAAGACTCATGGCTACTTACTGTGTCTTTCTGTTGTGTAGAGATTGGTGTCCTTTGAGGATGTGACTGTGGACTTCAGCCAGGAGGAGTGGCAGCATCTGGACTCCGCCCAGCGACGCCTGTACCAGGACGTGATGTTGGAGATCTACAGCCACCTCTTGGCAGTGGGTGAGCACAGCTGGGCTGGGGATCCAGGGTGGGCCTCATATTTTTCTCTGTGTAAAACTTGGTGGAATATCAGAAACCTGTGATGATTTCTGTTTTGTCCTTGCTTGTTTTTTCGTTTTTCGAGACAGGGTTTCTCTGTGGTTTTGGAGCCTGTCCTGGAACTAGCTCTTGTAGACCAGGCTGGTCTCGAACTCACAGAGATCCGCCTGCCTCTGCCTCCCGAGTGCTGGGATTAAAGGCGTGCGCCACCACCGCCCTGCCTTGCTTCACTCTTGAGCACCTTTTTATGTTATTTAATGTTGACTTTTACAGTTAACCAGTACAGAGTTCATTGGATACCCTCTAAGACCTACGAAGACGCAACAGATCCAGTAGCCTTGCAACTCACAGGGTATCCCAGGCCGGAGGCCCTCCTCAGGATGAAGAACGCTGATTTCCCACATCAGAGGTGTCCGTGTCAAGGTGAGTGACTGTCATCTGATAGACAGGTGAGAGGTGTCATCAGCCTACTGACTTACTCATCCCCTAGTAGGGTCGGTCACCTAGGGTTTCATAGGAAACACTGTACATTTTGTTACGAGCATTTGCAGGGGCAGAAAGGTGCTTACTGGATATTTGCATTCTAATGGTCTGTACAAATTCACAGTCCGTGTTTGGAGAGCATGAAACAAATCACACGTGGATTTCTGTTTGTGCATCCTAGTTGTCGACAGTTGACGTTATCAGCGTGGTTAATAAATTGCTTGTGTAATGAGTGAAATACATGTTCCTTGTTTTAGTTTTTAAATTTTGAGCGTGTGTGTGTGTGTGTGTGTGTGTGTGTGTGTGTTAGAAAAGGCCAAAGAGTGCTGGAGTACAGGTGGTTATGAGCACCCATGAAGGTGCGGGAAGCTGAACTCTGGTCCTCTGGAAGAGCAGCAAGCACTCGGAACCCCTGAGCCATCTCTCCAGGCCCTCCTGTGATATCTTTTCATAATTAATTTAGAGTATCTCATTATATCTGTTATGGAAAGGCATTGCTATGTATATATTATTTTTTGTGAGTTTTATCATTGTGTGGTAAAACTCCTAATTCTTTTACACTATTTATCCCTTCCTTACTGTCTTTTTTATCCTGGATCTTCTTTGGTATCCACCTAACTGTGGCACCATCGTAATCCTATTTCATATGTCCCCATGTAATCATTTCTTACTATTATATGTTTATGTTCCTGGGCATGCACATGCCACTCACCCCTTTGGAGGTCTGAGGACAACTTGCAGGGAGTCACTTCTCTCCTAGGGATCAGGCTTGATTGACAGCAAGCACCTTTCCCCACTCAGCCGGCTTGTGGGCCTGGCCATACTTCTTATAGGAATTGCCTTCTAAGCCATTCTGACCTCTTAGTCCTCCTGTGGCTGTTTTTGTCAAGTTGATACAACATAGAATCACCTGGAAAGAGTCTTGATGAGGAGTTGTCTAGGTTGGCCTGTGGCCTTGTCTCTGGGGAATTCCGTTATTTGATGTGGGAATACCCAGCTCTGGGCAGCACCGTTCCTGGAACTGGGTCATAGAATGTGCAGTACAGACAGTGAGCTGAGTATTAGCTATGCCTGTGTTCGGTCTTTCTCGTCTGTCATGTGACCCGTTTCCTCAGCTTCCCGCAATCTTGAAGTCCCTGAAATGGTGGGCTGTAACCTGGAATGGTAAGGTGAAGTCTTTCTTCCCTTACGTTGCCGGTTGTCGAGTGTTTTTATCACAGGACACGTTGACTTGTGATTTCCCTGTGGCCTCTGTGGTCTCTGTGTGGTGAGCCTCCTGCCATGTCTAGCTGTTCAGAGGACTGGTCCTGTGAATGACCCCTTCCTTAGTTTTGAAACGTGGGAAACTGGGGTCATCCTCATCCACGTTAGAAAGTGGAATTTCCATTTCTGGGCTCTTGTCCTTGAGTTTATTACTTCACAGTTCCTGCTCATTTTTACTTTCTATTACACAATTTACATGACCTTTTAATTCTGCTGAGATCAGTACAAACTAATTCCCTGTTTCCTTATTTAGACTTTTTGTCCTGTTGAGATTTTTGGATTTCACTTTCAGTTAACATTCTATTGCTAGTTTCTCTTGTGGCAAACGTTTCTGTTTTCTTTCTCTTCTTCCTAATATATTAGACACAAATATCCAATTATTTCGTATGATGTAGACCACACCAGCTCTTTCAGTGGCCGTGTGTTTCCAATTGCAAATGACCCCGAGTGTTTTCCTCACTTGCGCTCTGAGCCAGGTATAGACAGGTCTCTGTTAATGTCTGCTCTGAGCCAGGTGTAGACAGGTCTCTGTTACTGTCCGCTCTGCTGAGCCAGGCGTAGACAGGTCTCTGTTACTGTCCGCTCTGCTGAGCCAGGTGTAGACAGGTCTCTGTTACTGTCCGCTCAGCTGAGCCAGGTGTAGACAGGTCTCTGTTAATGTCTGCTCTGAGCCAGGCGTAGACAGGTCTCTGTTACTGTCTGCTCTGAGCCAGGCGTAGACAGGTCTCTGTTAATGTCTGCTCTGAGCCAGGTGTAGACAGGTCTCTGTTAATGTCTGCTCTGAGCCAGGCGTAGACAGGTCTCTGTTACTGTCTGCTCTGAGCCAGGCGTAGACAGGTCTCTGTTAATGTCCGCTCTGCTGAGCCAGGCGTAGACAGGTCTCTGTTAATGTCCGCTCTGCTGAGCCAGGCGTAGACAGGTCTCTGTTACTGTCCGCTCTGCTGGTGTTCCCCATTGCGTATAATCTGTTGATTGGCTTATCATCTCCATTTTTGTTTTGTTGTTGTGTCAGAAATAAGCCTTGTGGGCAGCAGTTTAGCAAATAAAAAAAAAACTCTATGTCTTGAATTTCCAAAACTAAGCAGAAGATACCGTTTCTCCTAATTTAGATGATTTTCCAGTGTCTGCTAAAGTAAACGGAAGGAAGCAGGCTGTAGTGGACGCTGTGGACAACAGCTTGAGAACCAGGACGATATCCTTAGAGCCTTTGTCCTGAATGTGCAAGGAAGGCTGCTTGAAATGCAGCCATGAGCATGGGGACGCAGAGAATAACTGCTCTTGGGGGTCACCCCAAATCTGAGATGACATGGGAGTTGATTTTGAGGGCACCTGTGCTGCTTATTCATGAAGTAATTTTGAACTGGAATAAAGAACCAGACAAAGCAACCTAGCTGAGTTAAAGCAGTGGTTCCCAACCTTCCTACTGCTGTGACCCTTTAATGCAGTTCCTCATGTCATGGTGACCCCAACCAGGAAATTGTTTATGTTACTACTTCATAACTGTAATTTTGCTACGTTATGAATCATAATGAGACATCTGATACGTAGGCTATCTGACATATGACCCCTGTGGATTGGTTATTCGACCTCTCCCCCAGGAGAACCCACGTGAGAACCACTGAGCGAGTGGGTGCTCAAAGTCAGCAGTAACTGACTGTTTTACGTTGAGGTTGTTGGGATACAGTGGAGAAATAAAATATATTTTAAAGATGTATTTATTTTTATTTTCTATGTATGAGTGCTTTGCCTGCATGGATGCCTGTGTACCATGTGTGTGGCCTGGTGCTTGCAGAGCCATACGAGAGTGTTGAATCCCTTGGAACTGAATCACTGAGTAACATTATTGCCATGCGATGGTATGGACCTGAGTTTGGGTTCCTAGCTGCCATATAAAAGGCTGTGTGTCTGTTACTCTAGCACTGGTAGTGGGATATCAGGGACCCGATAGCCAGTCCAGCTGAAATAGTGAGCTCTCGATTCAATGAGACACCCTGCCTCAAAAAATAAACAAATAAAGAAATGAGAGCACTAGAGAGAGATTTAAAGTTGATCTCCAGCTTCTACACACAATGCAAAGGTGAGCACAGATAGCACACGTGCAGTCTGCTTCTGCCTCCACGAGTGTACACACAGGAGACACGCACACACATGCAGTCTGCTTCTGCCTCCACGAGTGTACACACAGTCACACAGGACACACACACACACACACACATGCAGTCTGAGCAGGTGACCCGGCTGGTAGAGAACTTGCTATGCAAGCATGAAGATCCAGGTCCAGTCCCTAACACGCGCATCAGAAACTGACTCCTGTAACTCAGTGCCGGGTCTGCGAGACAAGAGGACCTCTGAGGCTTTCTTGCATCCATTTCTAACTGAACTGGCAATTTCCAGATTCGTTGGTGGACCTTGTCTCAGAAAATAAGGTTGAAAGTGATTGAAGAAGACACTCAATCCTTGGCCTCTGCGTGCATGGGTAAACATGTACACCTGTGCACACAAACACACTAAACCGATAAATAAGATACAAAAACAAAAATTTGGGGGTGTAAAGTTCAGGAGAAGGGCTTGTGGAGCATGGGTGAAGTGTGTAGCTAGCTAATCCTTGCCAACAGAGGGAAAGAAAAAAATGTTACAAAAAAATTTAACCAGGTGAGAAAATGATCAGAGGCTTTTCTCGAGCTAATGGAGGCCTCTGCTGACAACCCTTTCTTCTGAGATTGGCTGTCATTGACAGTGCCAGCAGCAGCCGGGCCTGTAACAGCCAGGCCTGCTTCCTCCCCTTGTTTATCCTTCTGTGTCTATAGCACGGGCCTCCTGTGTAAGTGGATTGTCTTTGTTTATCTTTCTGTGTCTATAGCACGGGCCTCCTGCGTAAGTTGATTGTCTTTGTTTATCCTTCTGTGTCTATAGCACGGGCCTCCTGTGTAAGTGGATTGTCTTTCGCCAAACCAGGTCTTCCCGACAAATTATCTACTGCCTGCTGCTTCCGTTTCCTCATGAGGAAGACAGAGTATAGGAGCAGATGCCTTGTGGGTGGTTGTGAGGATTAAATGAGATCGCGTATTCACCTCATAGTGACAGCTGTTCTAGGTTGCACGAGTTGGTCAGAGAAACAGGTCGCTCAAGATAAAATTCTAAGGCCTGTATGGCAGCAGGAAAGCTCAGCCTCTGATGAACTGATTCATATTTACTGATTGTTACACAGAGTTGTTTTTCGGTTGAAGTATTTCCTCATGCCAAGGTTCCTAATCTACTCTCTGTTTCGCTTAAGGAAATCGTCACACCCCTGCTCCCTTAGTCCTTATTGTGTACCCTTTGCAGTACCCAATAATCTAAATGCCTCAGGCGTGCCAGAAGCATCTTGTGACCATAGTCATGCCAAGGGTGTAACATCCTCTCAGAAAAACAAGTCCACAAATCATGGAAAACAGCTACTATTTTTCACAATAATTCTTCAAGGTCAGAGTCCTTTTAGAAAACAACTGTTCAGTCTAGTGCTTGCCCTAGATAGTGACTCTACTGGATGGGTACAACGCACGCGGTTGCTGTGTTACATCAGGGTTGGGGCGTTACAAGGGCCATGTCAGCATTTCTCACCATTGTCTCCATCTTCAGCGTCGTTACTACCTGGCAGAGACTTCTTTTTGTTCAGGCTGATTCCTTCCCCATCATGCTCACTGTGTCTGCTCCTTCATCTCTTCTCTTCACAGGGGAATCAGAGCATGACTCGGCTCGTCAAATTTGTGCGAAAGCTGCTTTTCCAAATGATTTCTCTGAAAAAGTCCATAAACGTGGTGCATATTGTTCCGTTATAGAGGAGCTCTGGCAGGATGGGGACCCTACGAGGATGGATCAGCCAAACCAGAGCCCACTCTTGAGTTCTGCTGCTTTCTTCACCCAGAGACCGCTGATGAGTGACGAGACTTACGAGTGTGAGGCGCCCAGGGGGTCCGTTCCTTTAGATCTCCACCTCATTTCCACACAGGAGAGATTTCCAGAGTGTTGCTCGTTTGAGAAACCTTTGCAGCCTAACCCTAACCTTGAAGCACATAGTGAACATCAAAGCAGTGCTACCAGGCAGCCCGACGGCATTGTCGAATCCTGTCAGCTCTTCACGCAAAGCCCGCCGAATGCTGTATGTGCAGCGCCTGACAGAGAGGAGAAAGCATGGAAAGGAAAGGTTCTCAGCCCGAAGCCACCACGTAGGAAGCATGACGTTCTTTCTCAGGATGAGCCAGTTGAATATACCAGATGTGGGAAGGGCTTCCCGGCCAGGCCAGCTTTGTGCCCGCAGCAAGTGGCTCTCACTAGAGGGACACCTTTTATTTGTCACAGATGTGGGAAATCCTTCCTCCAAAACTCTGAGTTGAGCTCTTGCCCAGGAGCGAACCGAGGAGAGACACCTGAATGTCCTGACTGTCTGAAACCACTCACAAGGACATCCGACCTGCAGGTGCACGAGGAAGTCCACACAAAGAAGCCTTACAAATGCCACGACTGTGGGAAGTCATTCAGCTATGCATCCCACCTAAAGGTGCACCTTCGAACACACACAGGTGAGAGACCGTATGTGTGTTCTGACTGTGGGAAAGCCTTCAGCCAAAAGTCGGTCCTCACCACACACCAGAGAATCCACACCGGGGAGAAGCCTTACACATGCAGCCACTGCGGGAAATTGTTTGTTTATGCATCGGATCTGAAGAAACACAGCCGCTTTCACACTGGGGAGAAGCCTTACGAATGCCCCGACTGTGGGAAGCTGTTCAGTAATAAATCCCACCTGCCCGTGCATCATCGAATTCACACCGGCGAGAAACCGTACAAATGCTGTGACTGCGGGAAGTCCTTCAGGAGGAAATCCCACCTTCAAGTACATCACCGGACACACACTGGCGAGAAACCCTACATATGCTCCGACTGTGGGAAAGCCTTCAGCCACAGCTCAGTTCTCAGCACACATCAGAGAATTCACACTGGGGAGAGGCCTTACGCGTGCAGCGACTGTGGGAAAGCCATGTCATCTAAAGCCCAACTGAACGAGCATCAGAGAATCCACACGGGTGAGAAGCCATACGTGTGCACTGAGTGTGGGAAAGCCTTCAGCGGCAGGTCTTCCTTACAGGCACATCAGAGAACTCACAGGAGTGAAAAACCCTTTCTCTGTCACCAGTGTGGGAAAGGCTTCCTGCGCAGGTCGCAGCTGTCATCTCACCAACAAACTCACACTGCTGACAACCCTTAGTGCTGTGTGTGTGTGTGTGTGTGTGCGTGTGTGTGTACGTGTGTGTGTGTGTGTGTGCATGCGTGTGTGCGTGTGTGTGCTCGCGTGTGTGTGCGTGCGCGTGTGTGTGTGCGTGCGCGTGTGTGTGTGCGTGCTTGTGTGTGTGTGCGTGCGTGTGGGCGTGTGTACGTGTGTGTGCGTGCGTGTGTGTGTGCGTGTCTGTGTGTGTGTATGTGTGTGTGCGTGTGTACGTGTGTGTATGTGTGTGTGTGCGTGTGTGTGCGTGCGTGTGTGCGTGTGTGTGTACGTGCGTGTGTGTGTGCCTGTGTACGTGTGTGCGTGTGTGCGTGTGCGTGTGTGTGCGCGTGTGTGTACGTGTGTGTGCGTGTGTGTGTGCGTGTATGTGTGTGTGTGCGTGTGTACGTGTGTGTATGTTTGTATGCGTGTGTGTGTGTGTGTGCGTGTGTGTGTGTACATGTGTGTGTGCGTGTGTGTGTGTGTGCATATGTGTGTGTATGTGCGTGTGTGTATGTGCGTGTGTGTATGTGTGTGTGTGCATGTGTGTGTGTGTACGCGTGTGTGTGTGTGTGTGTGTGTGCGCGCGCGCGTGTGCAGTTGTTCTGTCTCCACGCCAGCCGAAGGCCATCACCACACGGAAATGGAAGAAAACATTGCCAGTGATGGACTAGGAAAGTTCTCAACAACTGAAGGTCCGTCTATTTCATTCAGTGCAGAGACCTGAAATGGGTTCCAATGCACAAAGTCCTTCAAACGCAAGTCAGATTTCAGTAGACCTAGGGACTCCTACCTCACCCTGTTCTTACAGATACTGTGATCTTGTGGAAGATTTTCCCACAAAGTCAAATCCTTTTCCATGATTGGTTTTGTTTTAATTTTTTTAAAAAACTTTTTACTTATTCTTTGTAGACAGATTTTTCTTTTGGGGCCACCAGCTCACAAAAAAATGACACAGAGACTTCTTATTATGAAAGCTTGGCCGATAGCTTGGATTTGTTTCTAATTAGCTCTTGTAATTTAGATTAACCCATTGGCATTAGTTTACTTTCTGCCTCATGGCTTTATTACCTCATCTCCACAATGCCCATCTTGCTGGCTCTGTGTCTGGCTGGCGATGTCACCATCTTCCCAGCATCCGCTGTTCCCTGACATCCTGTCTAGTTATTGGCCTGCTGTTGGACAATGGTTTGTACCCTGTCAATTGTATTTTAATAAAACACTGATTGGCCAGTAGCCAGGCAGGAAGTATAGGTGGGGACAACTAGACAGGAAGTAGAGGTGGGTCAATGAGAACAGGAGAATTCTGGGAAATAGGAAGTCCTAGTCTGCAGTCGTGACCCAGCCTCAAGGAAGCAAGATGTGACTGCCTTGCCAAAAAAAGTACCAAGCCATGTGGCTAACATAAACAAGAATAATGGGCTAATATAAGTTATAAGAGTTAATAAGAAATCTGAGCTACTAGACCCAATCAGTTTATAACTAATGTATACCTCTGTGTGATTTCTTTGGGACTGAATGACTCAGAACCAGGCAGGACAGAAAACCTCAGCCAACATTGGCTATTCAGCTTTTTATTAAACCAGTCACAGTGTAAAGGAATATTCCACAAAAGTTCTTTGTGTCTTTCGCATCATGCATCTCAATCCTGTTCTTTTCTCGTCCCTTTGTATCTACCCTCTGCTCTTGCAAACCGCCCTGAAGAGAAAAAGAAAAACCAGTCTTGTCATGGAAGCTGTAGTGTGACTCAGTGAGTCTTGCAATAAACCCTTTTGTCCATATATCTTTACTTGCAAGGGTTCAAAGCCTTTGGTTTCTGCTAAACTATAGATGGTTGGCACTCCTCTCGGATATCCTGTTGCCCTATGTCATGGAGACCCTTCAGCTTTGGGTTTTATCCATGTTTTTAATTTAAATAAAGACACCTAATTATAGCTGTGCATTGCTTATTTTAAATATGCAAATTATACCTGAGGAAAAAAGAATGAAGGGTTGTAAGGAGAAGTACAAATATCAATGTGCATGCATTGCTGTGTGTATGCGTGCCTTTGGGTACACTTGTCTGTGGGTGTCTTCTTGTGTACTATGAGAAATCTTACCTTGAGAAGACAAGTATCTACCTCCTCCCAAGTTCTCCCCCCGAAGCCCAACTTAGGGAATTGGTGAGTTTATTAGACATACTTACAGAGCATGAGGGATACTTTCAGGAGCTTTGGAGCCCAAAGCAGCCACACTACTTAGAAAATCTCACCCCAACATAGATTTCAACATCCCCATAACTGCATAGATGACATCCCTTCTTCAATTATTCTACTATAATGTATACTTCAGAATCTTCCAAGACCATGAGGCTACAGACTCAAATTGCAGGGAGGGGAATGTTGAGATACCAGGTGAGGGATCAGTGGCCCTCCACATCCCTCCTATGAGGGAACATTAAGAGACAACAGACCCAACCTTAGGGTCTCTTAAATATAATTACAGCAACCCTGATGGAAATGATAGCTGGTGTGCTCAGATGTGTGTCCACAGAAGTGAAGATGTCTAGAGGCTACCTCAAGTGTTGATTCTTAGACACCTTTTTGTTGAGAAAAAGTTTCCTATTGGCTCTCACTCTCCCCAAGAAGTCTAACCTAGGTGGCCAGTGAGCTCTAAGGACCTACTTGTTTTCAACTCCCATCTCAACATCACTGGGATTACAAATTATTCCTGGGACCAAACTCAGGTCCTCATGTTTGTGTGACAAAGGCATTACTAACAGCCATTTCCCTGGCCCTGTGTTAGTCTTTTAAAGGACTATTTTGTCACAGAAAGAAGTCTCAAATGATGATTTGAACTAAGTCTCTGTAGTTAATGATTTAAGTCATACAGTTACCAAACTATTTTAAAGTTTGTGGGAAATTGTAGCAATCATTTCCCTATGTTGTACCCATACCAACACATGTAATTCAAAATAACAAAAATTTAAAAGATGCCAGAAACATCTTACAAGCCTTAGGAAGTTACTGAAATGTAAGATTTGTAACAGTCTCTTCTCAAGGTTCTAAAGTAATAATTACCACTGGGCATGAGAGAGTCTCTGATCATACAGCTGCCTACACATTGTCCAGTGAGCCCAGTCAACACCCACGCTAGGATTTATACTCCAGTGAGCCCAGTCAACACCCACGCTAGGGTTTATACTCCAGTGAGCCCAGTCAACACCCACGCTAGGGTTTATACTCCAGTGAGCCCAGTCAACACCCACGGTAGGGTTTATATTCCAGTGATCCCAGTCATCACCCACACTAGGGTTTATACTCCAGTGAGCCCAGTCATCACCCACAGTAGGGTTTATACTCCAGTGAGCCCAGTCATCACCCACAGTAGGGTTTATACTCCAGTGAGCCCAGTCAACACCCACGCTAGGGTTTATACTCCAGTGAGCCCAGTCAATACCCACGCTAGGGTTTATACTCCAGTGAGCCCAGTCAACACCCACGCTAGGGTTTATACTCCAGTGAGCCCAGTCAACACCCATGGTAGGGTTTATATTCCAGTGATCCCAGTCATCACCCACACTAGGGTTTATACTCCAGTGAGCCATAAGTCATTGGACCACTGATTGGACTTCTGTGGACAAACACTGGCCCACAGGAGAAAAATGGCATAAAGAAGATCAAAATGGGCAAACTAGTTTATTCACAGTTTGGGCTAGAACTGAGAAGACAACCAGTCTCGGTTTTTTCTTTATGCTTCTTTTTTGTTCCAGAGGTAAACCCACAGAGGGAGAGAACAAAGCCAGGACGGAAGCACATGGGCTCCAGTCAGCAGAGCTGGGCATGGTGCTTTGTGCAGGTACCAGGGCTTTTCAGTCCTGCTGGACGCTGGAGCTCAAAAGACAAGATCTTAAAAAAAAAAAAAAAAGATTATTAGTCCTAATTGTAGCCTTAGGACACATATATGGGCATGGGCCAGTGCTGTCCTCTGACCTGGTGGGCATGGTGTGTGTGATTGACGGGTGACTAAAATGATGCTGCTTCCATATTGGGACATGTTATTTGAGCCGTGTTTGGGATTGAGTCTCAGGAAACCAGTAAATTAGATTCTTTGGGAAATATCTGTTGACTTTCAAGGTAGTGAGTGACATTTAGGAGCCTAAGCTACCTCAGTGATTGGAAGGTAAAACTGTAGTTTGGTGGTGATCCAAGGATACTGAAGATTATTGGTGTCGATGTCTGCATTCTGTGTAGGGGCCACTCCCTATGGACCGGCATCAAGTGGTCTGTGAATGGAGGACCTGGTGCACACAAGAGATTGGGTCTGTGAATTTAAGTGATATGTCAGGAAAAAATGGGCTGTGTGGCATGCCATGGATGGACACAGAATTAGCCTAAAAAGGGAATAGGAACCAGAAGTGGCTATTGCTCTCATGAGCTTCTAAATCAAGAAGGCAATGGGAAGAGTGTGTCCTTTGAGACTGATCCTTGCCTGCTCTTCTACTCGGTGACCATAGGGCAAATTAAGGAATAGCATCCAGCCTCAATACTAAAGGTTATTGTCTATACTGAAATGGTTGCGCGAAATTTAAATGAAGTCTTGATGCATATTTGCCATGTGCCGGGCAGGTGCCTGGTCTTGATGAGCCTTATCTGTCATCAGACCCCCACCCAGAGCTAGCGAACATCACCTGCATCCTCACCTTGGCAATAACCGAGTTAGACTCTGGCGACAAGAGTAGGCCTCTCCTGAGCCTGCTCTGCCAAGTCTGCACAGTGACCTTCACTTGGATTCTGAGCGTTTGATGTTGGATCAGTGGTCACATGACTTCCCAGGACTGTCCAGTGTCTGCAGATCCATGGTCATGCCCCATCATCCAGACTGCATCCTCTGCCCAGCAGCTCTCCTTACAACCTCTAGTCGCCCACCCAGCTTCCAGCTCTTGTGGAAATCAAATCTTCTAGCAAGAGATACCAAGAGTAGAAACCAATGAAGACATGTCTGCTGATGTGAAATTATTCCAGGAGCCCCAGAGACTGGGAGCACAGGAGTAGGATGGGTCGTGT